GGGGGGGAGAGAGGACACTGTTAAGTATCCTACCGGGGGGAAAGGACACTGTTGAGTATCCTACCGGGGGGAAGGACACTGGACTGTGTCAACGGTGCCATTAAGCCTACAAAGCGACCCCCCCTGCCTCATCTATCTGACCGGCTGCTCCTCACAGTATTTATTCTTCTGCCTACTTTTTACTTCCAATATTTTTAAAAAGACGTCTGTACTTTTTCCTTCTTACAGTTTCAAAACCAGCTCATTACTTTTGGTTTGACAGATTTGAGGGGAGGTTTTTTACATCACTCCGAGCCTCCAAACATCAAAGCGCTTTGAGCCTGAACAGCAACACAACAGCAGTACTGATGGTTCATGAGCGACATAATTTGGCATAAAAAGAGACGTGTGTGTGTCAGGGGCTGAAGTGGGACGGAGTTTCTTTTATTTCATTTCTTTCTTTTTTTGGAACAACACTGGAACGGCCACAGGTGTCCAGAAGTTGTGGCTGCGGTGTTTCGACATCTATCCAGTCAAGGTTCAGATGCTGGATTTCACAGGGAGAGAAAAGATTGGACTGAAGTCATCGTTACAGACGTTTTTGTGATTATTCTTTTTCATTTGAAGATTATTGGACCACTGCTATGTTTATTTACTTCCTGTGAGTTTAAATAGAGCTGCTTTCAGTTCTTAAAAGGTCTTCTTCTCATCAATGGTATTATTCTTGCATTACGTATATGTATCATCCTCTCTGTCTGTGTGAGAACTCATTCTTGGCTTCAGGAGACACAGACAGGTCCACTCTCATTATAATTGTTGAACAGGTGGACTCTGTCTCTACCCTCAGCTTTCTGAGCACCCACATCTGCGCCCAGCAGCTGCACTTCCTCCTTGTCCTGAGGAGGAAGGACCAGGACCAGGAGGTGGTCACATGCATACCTACATCCAAGTTTGACCAACCGAGTACCCAGACTAGATCACACAGGGAGAAATGGAAAGTCCACACAGTAAGGCTCTGATAAGGTCCAGAACCTTGCTGTGCAAACCAAAGCACTGCCATGCTGTCACAGTGAAAGGAAGCAAAAGCTTACTCACTTTCTGTGCTAGTTCAGCAGCATCTATGTTGGGGTCATATGGGATGGGATCCCCAAGGAAGGTTCGAAACTTCACAGGAAATCCACCGTAAACAGGAGCTATAGGGAGACGAAATCTCTCATAGACCCAGCGGAAGAATCCTGGAGAGACACATCAGAGAAAGTTAGACATGAGCTCAGACAGCAGTGCTTTGTTATAGAAATAAAATGTATGAAAATACATTATTACACAGGACAGCATCATTATTGTGATCAAGCTGAGCTCCACAGTGTTGTTCTAGGTTTGATGAAGACTTTAACTCAGACGCTTCAAACAAACATTCACACTTATTTTGATTCCCCGAACCTGAACAACAGAACACAGCAGCAATACAAAAACTACCATAAATGACTTTTAGTCTTTTTCATAGTGTCATGGTCCTGGGTCACGTGACCCAGTATTCTGAGTTTCTTGATGTTTTTGTTCCTTTCAGTCTAGTTTCATTTCAGTTTATCTAGTTCTTCAGTTTTCAGGCCCCTCTTCTGTGGAACCAGCTTCCAGTTTGGATTC